TTTACATATGTACATGCCTTTATTTAGACCTCTGTATATGCCCTTTGCCTCCTAGCTCTTTCCTCTATTTCTTTTTACTTTCCTCTATTCCACTATCCCACTATCATACTCAGCCTTCACTTGGGTTCCAGTAATTCTTCTCAGCTACATTACCCTTGATCACATCCTACCAGGCCTCCTACACCCTCCTCACCACCGATTTGAATCACTTGTTGTTCCCTTGTCCCTGAGTTTGTTAACACCACTTCCTTTCCATCTACCTTCCCTCTCCCATGCCCACCCCCGAGAACTGTTGGTCGCATTGTTTTATCCTCCAGATTGTCCATCCAGCCTATTTTTTTTAGACCTGTGGAGATAATAACAGCACAAAAATAAGACAGAGCGAAACCAAACAACAAAAGAAAACAAAACAACAACAAAATGTCAATGACAAAAAAGAAAAAAAACCACACACAAAAAACCAACCACAACACAACAACAAAGAAAAGCTTGTAGTTAGTTCAAGGACTGTTTGTTAGCGTTTAGGAGTATTTTCTGGTTGACTGATGGGGTGCCAAGTCCTGGCCCCGAAGTCTATTTTTCATATTCCCTGGGGACTTCATTGCTCTGTTACCCTTGCTGTTCTGTTGTACACCCTTAGTGTTTTACCTCGGTGTGGTGGGATCAGATCAGGCGCAATTCCCACACTGTGTCTCCAGTGTTGTCCCCTGTAGGGCTATGGGTCAGTGATGGATGTTGTGACTTATAGTGGTGCCAGCCATATGGTCTTCTCTGGATTGGCTGCTCTGAGTGGGAATCTTGTCATCAAGGCTTGGTGGGCCAGGATGTGCTCCACTCTCTCTTCCTCCCTCTTCATTTTCTTAAGACCTATCCACAGGTTGTTCTTCTTTGTGTGTTTCCTGAGTGGGCTGTGATGGTGGATATCTACTTTGACATCAAATTCAGGAACACAAGGTTGGGTTTTCCTTTCTTTTCCTAAAGTGGCTCCATTTCTAACTCATCAATGATCCTCAGAGGATTTCTCTTTACAGAAAATCCCACTGCCCTCCGGTCGATTCTGGCGCACAGAGACCCTCTAGGACAGAGTATAATTGGCCCTTTGGGTTTTCAAGACTGTAAATAAATCTTTACAGGAGCAGACAGCCTCTTCTTTCCACCGCGATGTGGAGCTGCTGGTTGCATTGACTGGATGGCCATGGGGCCTGGTTGTACAGAACAGTAAGATGCTCGAGCAACGGGCTGCCATGTCTATTTTCACATTCTTAGTTGTCTGCCTCACTGACGGACTCCTAAGTATGCTGTAAGTCATGGATGAAGGAAAGCTGGAGGAAAACTGCCACCAGGATTGTGTGGGCGACGGGCCCGTCAATGTAGGCTCGGACCGTGGGACTTTGCCTTTTAAGTGGTGTCATGCACACGGGACGCTAGGATGTGACTCTCTAAGAAGAGTCTCTCTTCGTTTTGTATTTCTAACATTAAGGTGTGATTTCATAGTCCAAACACCTCGGTCGCCCTGCTGTCCCTCATCAAGCTCATCCCCCTTCTTTGGTGCAATAACAGACGGGCTCTCTTCTTTCCGCCCGCCTGTGTTCCTATGGGACCAGCCTTCGTAAAGCTCTGGATACAAAATGATAGCGAGCTGTTGCTGTTCTTGTTAGGCACCCTCCAGTCAAGTGTGATGCCTAGCCACCCCGTGTCACAGCGTAGAGCCAGCCCTGGGGGTCTCCTCAGGCTGCAGTGTTTGTGGGAGCTGGTCACCAGGTCTTTGCTCCTCTGAGAAGCTGGTTGGGGTAGACCCACTAAGCCCTGTGTCCGCAGCTCAGCACAGAACCATGCAGAACTAGTATCCCCACAGAGCAAAGGGAGAGAGACAATCTCTTAAGTTAGAAAGAAATTAATTTTATCATTTTGGCATTATGTATTCTCTTTTAACAGTTTTATTTGAGACTTTTTTTCCCTTTTAAATCATTCAGTCCACTGAGCAAAATGAGGGCTCTCTGGGTTTGAGAGTGTTTTAGTCACCTTATCTTCCAGGTCAAATGCAGCCGTGTTACCCAGCTGCAGGGCTTTGTTCAGATGAAAGCCCGTGTATGCAGAGCCCCTTCCACAGTGACTCACACTTGCTAAATAAATGCCACAAAACCAAACCCGTTGCCGTCTAGTCAATTCTGACAACAACTCAACTCCTCCTTTGGTCTTCCAATACTGTGAATCTGTACAGGCACAGATAGCCTCCCCTTTCTCGCAGGGAGCAGCTGGTGACTTTGAACCTCCCACCTTGCCATCCTTGAAGAGCTCCTTCTCACCTAGTACGTTCCTGCCATCATGTCAATTCCCACTCACCATGCCCCTAAAGGGCAGGGTATACTGCCCCTGTGAGTGTCTGAGACTGTAAGTCTTGATGGGAATAGAAAGCCTCTGCTTTCTCCTGAGGAGCCCCTGGTGGTTTCCAATTGCTGACCTTGCAGTTTGCAGCCCAATGTGTAACTGCATAGCCACCAAGGCTGCTTCTCACCTGGTAGGTACCCAGTAATAGCAATTGCCTTTGGGGGTCTTCCGGCCTAGCCTGGTTAAGTAAGGGGCTAGACCTAAGCCCATGTGTGCTTGTATACAAAGTGCTCCACACGTTTAGAAATGTCTCACCACGTCCACTAGAAGCAATGTAAGTTAAGAAGATGATCTGCGCCAAGGTTGTAGAAAAGAACATCGTGTCCAGGAGTCCTGGTGGTGCAGCAAGCAGGCGCTCAGCTACCAACAGAGAAGTTGGTGGTTCTAACCCACACAGTGGCTCTTTGAAAGAAAGGCCATGAGCTGATGACAGCTGGTAAACAAACACCCAATGAGGAGGTTCTGCCCTGTTGCAAGAGGTTGCTGTGAGTCAGAGTCTACTGGAAGGCACAGAGCGATAACAGAAGGGGCCAGTAAGATGCCCCGGGACCGCAATGGCTGTGTGAAGCAGGAATGGACCGTGCGCTTTCTCTAACAGTATCTGCTCTTTGTTGCCTCCAGGAACATGTGGCCTGTTAGAGCCCCACTGTGTTCCACGGGATCCCCTTTGTAAAGTGCGCCCATTCAGAAGATTTCCGTGAATCCCCCAGAGAACACACCTGCCTTCAGAGTCTGCTGCTGGCGATTTGGAGGTTGGTGGCCATTTTTTTCATGGCTTTTCCTGACGATATTAATTTCAGGGGCATTGTTTTTCTCAGCTGGTTAGTAGTCATGTTCTACTGCAATAAGAATTCTGGGGGCAGATGGTACACAGACCTCTATGTCATACTGAGGCAGATAGAAATGAAAAGAAATTTGGTGGGCTATCCTCCCACTTCTCGTTGGAGACTGTAGATCTGTCAAGGACATTTGAAACACCATATCCCCCACATTGTCTTAGAACTAATTTTATTTTGCTGTTTATAAATTCTAACTCAACAGACTTGGCAAATGTATATGGAGTAGCAACATCTATTTCGTTAAGTGCTTTCAATTAATTAAGATCATGTGGACACATTATATTTTAACTCTCTGCAAATCAGTCCAGCATTCATCAATATTGGCTAGTTTCATCATTTTGGCATTTTGGAAATTAACAACATCTCGGTGGTCGGAATGCTTTCATTAATTTCCACTGAGGGAGGGGGTGGTAATTTCCCTATTATGTACAATGATAGAACTTATTTGTGCGTGTTTATTAAACAGCTTGAAAAATTATTTTGAAGTATTGTTGCTGACTTAAGCAAACAATTGCTAGGAAGGCAAGCATGTTATTGTGGAAGTATGCTTTTCGCTGCTGAGCGTGTAGAGCACTTTTATTCTGAAAGTCCCTTCCTAAAAAGCCCCGACCAAAGGCTGCCCTCAGCCCATGCATCTTTCATAAAACGAGGACCTCATGCCGGGGGCTTACGTGGAGAGGAAATGTTTTGAGAATGATGAGGGCGATGCATGTACAAATGTGCCTTACACAATTGATTATGTATGGATTATGATAAGAGTTGTATGAGCCCCTAATAAAATGATTAAAAATAATAATAATAAAAAAATAAAAACATATTCGACCTCTGAAAAAAAAAAGACGGAGACCGGGGCCTCCGGAGGCTAAGACTGGGCCTGCTGAGGGGAGGAGCAGCTCTGAATGAAGACCCAGGGAGAAGGGGTGCTGTGCTCTCCCTGGGATGGGTCTTTCTCCACCAGCCTTTACTTTATTTGGTGGGACTTTCGTTCTGTCTACTGTGAGAAATGGTTTCTCCCTTAATAGGCCTATCCTGGGGCTTTCGTTTTCTTTTTTGTTTTTTTCAAGTTCTTTTATTACTCCTGAGAAATCCAAGTAGATTTCCCTGCAGTCTTAGGCCAGAATGGAGTTCCTCCTGTCCTCTTTCTGATTGGGCCCTGGGATTAACCCACTGTGAAGCTTGGCACTCCGGGCTCTGGGCATGTACTATGAGAGGAGGTGGGTGGGAAGCTATGCCTCCATCTTCAGTTCTGTCCCAAGCTGTCACTGTGGTAAGGATGATGGTGTGTTGGAACCTCGCAAGTGTATCCATAGAAACAGAAGGGTTGGAAAGGCCATGAGCAGTGACCTAAAGCTGCATGGATTAGGCACTGGGCTACTAACCACGGGTCCTTTTGTTCTTCTTCAAATGCATGTCCAGTCTTACCAGTGTCATTTATGAATGAGACTAGCTCTTGCCCGTTTCATGTGTTTCAGTCCTTTGTCAAATACAGCTGTCCATAGGTAGATGGGTTTACTTCTGTCTTGCCAATTTTTTTTTCTATTGGTGTGTGTATCTATCATTGCACCAGTACCAATCTTTTCTTTTTTAAATCATTTTATTGGGAGCTCTTACAGATAGCATAACATTCCGCAGTTCAGTCACATCGGGCAGTATTAAAACATTTTCTTTCTTCTTGAACTCCTTGATACCAGCTCCCATTTGTCTTCTCCCTCCCCGATCACACCCCCAGGCACCCTGCTTCATTTTTTCTCCTATATGACTATTTTTTCTGCCATATCTAACACCATCCTATGGTTGCATTCACATACAATTCTTTTGTTCAATCACATTAAGTGGGGTTGTACAGTTATCAATGCTACCAGCTCCCCATTATCCCCTCCCAATTCCCATACCCATGGGGAACCATAATACCTATTCCTGCTTCTGGAGGGTTATCTGTCTTGACTTTCATGTACCAAACTATCTTGAACATACAGATGAACCAGTCTATTTTGATTACTATGGCTGTGTAATAGCTTTGGAGTCAGGAAGTGAGGGCCGTCCACTTTGTAGGAGGGCCTCCACTGTAGCAGTGCTTTGCTTATCTGGTGTGTCTCTTGTTTCCATGTGTACTTACTGGGTTTTTGTGTTTGTTTGTTGTTGTTTTTTTTAAGAATGATGTCAAAATTTCTATCTAATTGCATTATATATACATATAGCTTTGGACAGCCTTGACATTTTCACAATGTTACGCCTTCCTATCCATGATTATGTTATAGCCTTCCATTTACGTAGGTCTTTATTAGTTCCTGATATTTTTCTTTGTACGTATGTTTTGTTTCTCTGGTTGGATTTATTCCTAAACTATTTGTGCAGCTGTTGCAATTGGTATTGTTCTCTTGATTTGCTTTTCAGAGCTCTCTTTGTTAGCATAAAGAAATCCAACTGACTGTTGCATGTTCATCTTATACCCTGCCACTGCGCTAAATCTTTCAATTAGTTCCTACAATTTTCTTGCCAAGTCTTTAATCTCATATGGCTAGAATCACATAATCTTTTCACAAAGACAAGCCTCTACAGTCTAGCTTGGTGAGCAGCAACTTGGGTCTTAAAAGCTCATGTGAAGAGCAAATATTGGTATCTTCCAATTCAAATGGAAAGAGAGTAATGAAAATCAAAAGGTACATGGAAACAATTAGCCAATGGACCATTGGACCAAGCGAACATCCCTCTGGAAACCAAAGGTGCAGAACTAGATGGTACCTGTCTACCACAACCAACTGCTCTCAGAGGACCACATTAGAAGGTCATGGACATCATGAGAGAAAAATGTGGAACCCAACACAAAATTATAAAAGAAACCAGACGTATTGGTCAGCTAGAGACTCCTTGGACCCCAAGGGCCCTTAGTCACCCTCACATCTGGAAGAAAAACTCACCCCTGTGTTAGACTGTGCAACCATTTAAGATCAAAAGGGCAGCATTTGCTCAAGGACAGAGGATTGGGAAGAAGGGTGACTGGAAGCAGAAAGCCCGGGGAGGGAGTGGAAAGAACAATGGTAAATTGTGGGCATTGAAACGGGTAATTTGAAAAAAGTGTATATGATACCGGATGCTCCGTGGACCTTCACCGACATTCCAATAAAAAGTTAAAAAACAAAATGAAACAAACCCTTCATACTCAGGGACCTATGTTTCCTGTTTTGTTTTTGAAACACAATGTTAGTTTTTCTTTCTTGGGACCTTGTCATGAAATCCTGTACATTCCCAGCCTCCTATGACAAAGTTAATTCTTTTCTTTGTAGGAGACAAACTTGATTAAAGGGCCCTGGATATCATTAAGTATTTCATTATTAAATCATCCCTTTTAATTTATTTTTTTCTCTTTTAGAGAGAGGCAAAGCTTTTACGAAATTATTGTGTTGAGCTTTCCCTATGAAATGATATAATCCAAAACTGTCCGTATCTTCTTCGCATCCCTTCCTGGGTTGCTTACTTTCTCTCTAGCCCACTTAAACGTGAGCGTCCAACCAGCTGTTGGGGTTTTCCAATGTGGGCACTGTTGACATTTTGAGGGGTACAGTCTTTTGTGATGTGTGACTATCACACTGATTTTTGAAAGTTTAAAATCCCTGATTCCAGGATGGCCCCCACTCTAGCTCGTGGTGTCCCGTGATAGACAGAATCCAACCTTCCTTCCTCCTCCCCTGCAGAGGAGGTCCTGGAGGGTCAGGCTGAGCACCACACATTCCCACTTGAGTTCCAGAATTGAAAAGGGCTGGAATTGGCAGCAGGAGAGAGCTGGAGGCAGATCCCCATCTTTTAACTTTGGGTACCATTCTGTTCCTGCTCTCTTAGACATCTGCTCTGAGCTTGCATGTGTTCCTCAGCTGCCTAGACACATACTGACCCTGATTTCAGCTGACCCACTCTCTCTGTTAAGCAGCACCCTTCTCTGATTACCTTACTACTTTCCAGCAGCATGTTCCCTGACCACCCCACTCCCCAGCATCAGCGTGTCCCCTGATCCACCCCACTCCCCAGCATCAGTGTGTCCCCTGATCCACCCCAATCCCCAGCATCAGTGTGTCCCCTGATCCACCCCACTCCCCAGCATCAGCGTGTCCCCTGATCCACCCCACTCCCCAGCATCAGTGTGTCCCCTGATCCACCCCAATCCCCAGCATCAGCGTGTCCCCTGATCCACCCCACTCCCCAGCATCAGTGTGTCCCCTGCCTGCCCTCCTACCCTCACTTGCTGTCACCTCACTTCATCCTTCAGGCATGCGGAGTAAGGAACACACCTCTATTTTCTAAGGTCTCAAATACAGTTATAAATCAAAAGAAGAACTAGAAACAAGTGAACTTCAGTAAATTTTTCCCATAAAAACTTGTTGAAGGCTCTGGTCTCTTGACAATATTTCTAGCATAACTTTGCCACCGAGAAACAAATTCCTACATAGGGTTATTTTCTTTGACTCAAACATAGGAATCATTTACTTTGCTGGGAGAGAAGTTGCTTGATGACAAAATGTAAACAATTCACCCTTAAAGCTCTAGTTTTAAGGAGGGGTGTCTCCACCGTTACAGTGAGATTGCACTTCATATTGACTAAAGCTTCCAAAAAATACACCCAGTACCAACAAAGCTGAAGACCAGTTACTGATTCCAAGTATGGTAATCCCCGGCGGGTCTAGTACACAGGGAGCTAGAAATGAGAACTACGCCCAAGAACATTCTGCTTTGCTTTCTAGTAAGATGGGGAATCCTATAGGATAAGGGTGGTTTGAGTTTTTTTTTGTATTTATAAAAAGGCTAAATTTATGTAGAAATCACCAAATCACCAAAGGATTTTCATTGTCTGTATGTTTAATTATTTAAAGCATTTGACTAAGTTCTCAAGCCAGGTTTCGAAAATATGGTATTTTCCCGGT